GCCCCCCCCCCCCCGAGGGTATACGTTGTCTTCACAGCCCTCAGAAAAGATGTGATCCTGGCTTCCTACATAAGGACACAGCTATTAAATCAATGAGCGAGGGGATGGCAAGTCTGAGAATGCATTTTCCCTAGGTGCCTAGGCCAGGAAGTCAAAACAAGCAGTGGCCAGACATTTAGAAGAGAAAAATCAAAGCAACTTGACTTGCATCTCCTGATAGTAGCTCAGAGCTGCTCGATGATTCTATCAATAGGATTCAGCTATGGAACATTTGCAGTTCCCCTGCCGTGGTCAGAGAAATTTGCTATGAAAGGAGGAGAAGAAACATGACTGTAACCATATCAAGAGTATTCCCTCAGATCTAAACCTAGAGTCACAGACTGTTATTGTACCTAGAGATATAATGGGAGAAAACTCTCTTAGTTCTGTTTGATTTCGGGTAAAAGCAATAGCTACCTTTTAGAGCAGCCAATCATGCAACAGAGTTCCGTATTATTCACAGTGTGTATAAGGTTTAGATTCAAACCTTCCTGTTAGGAAAGGAGATAGCACAGTGGGGAAACTGAGTCAAGAGGCTATCTTCCCAACTTTCGCAATCAGAAACCAGTCTCTTCTGGAAAATCAGTGTCTTTCTGGGGGGAAAAAGGGCAGCTAGGTGGTGCCGTAGATAGAGCACGGGCCCTGGAATCAGAGGGACCTGAGTTCAATCCTGCCTCAGATACTTGACACTAACTGTGTGACCCTGGGCAAGTCACTTAACTCCGATTGCCCCCCAAAAAAGGAGGGGAGCAAATACAGTCTGCAAATCGTAAGTCAGTGAATTTGACTCCAGTTCCTGGGAAAATTCTAGAATGGATCATTAAATAATGGTTAGTCAACATCTAGAAAGGAGTGAGTACTAAGAGCCAGTATGGCTTCACCACATCATACCAGGCTATCCTTCCTTTTTGGGGGCAGCTAGGTGGCACAGTGGATAGAGCACCAACCTTGGAGTCAGGAAGACCTGAGTTCAAATCTGGCCTCAGACACTTGAAGCTTTTTAGCTGTGTGACCTTGAGCAAGTCCCTTAATCCTAATTGCCTTGCAAAACAATTTTTTTTTTTCCCAGAAGACATTCTCTGTTGTAACTCTTGGCATTTCCTTTGAATGGTGGAGGACTTGCTTAACAATAATCAAACAGTTACACGTGAGTTAAAAATTCAGAGCAAATCAAATTAGAGTTCCTTTGGCTCAGGATAGACTTGTTTTCTGTGTTGTATTAAGAACAAATAAAAACATTTATCTTCAGTCCCTATTAAGCACATACAAGGAGTTTCTAAAAGCATTCATTCATTCATTCATTCATTCATCATTTTACTTTTCTTTTTAGTTTAAATACATCCTGATGTAAAAATCAATTGAGAAGAATAAAATATTCACTTTCTGGAGTTGTATACATAACATGAATAATCATGTTATTTAAATAATATTTATTATATATAATACATATTACATATATATATGTATATATATACACATTTAAAACCTGGCTACTGTTAACCCGGCTGTCTTAAGGTGTTGCATAGTAACCCCTAAGGGAAAAAAACAAAAATCCTTTAAACTGGAGTCTGTTGGCTCAAAGATGTAACTTCAATAAATAGTATTCCGGGTACAACGTCATAATTTTCATAATCAGTATTCAGACAATGTATTATATAAATCAGTTCTATACCATAAGCAAACTTGAATCATCTCCCTCTTTGGCTGTGAATAGTTGTGCTGGGTCAGGGCTTAGTACCTCTGTGACATAATTATCTCTAGGCTCAGGATGGAAATCACAAAAGAGTCTACTTTGCATACCCCTGCCAAGTAACTCTTTTGTTTTTTTTTTTCTTTTCTCCACAAAGTTGATCTTACCAAGGCTGAAAATTCAGATGATCTGGCAAAGCTCTCCCAGACAATGAGACTTCCCAAGCCAATGAGGAACTTGTGACCAACCGGAGTATGCCCAAATGTACATGAAACACAGCCTTTATCCAGAAGGGCATTCTGCCTTCAAGGCAAGTCTCCAACGAGTAGAGGCTCAAAATTATAAAGTTACATCATTCAGATTAAAAGAGGAGCCAACCTCCGGAAAATCAATCAGTCGAATAACCATCTATTAAGAGCTGGCTGGCTGTGTGCCAAGCATGGTTACTAAGCACTGGATGTAATCCAAATGCTATACACTCTGGGTATTCTATCTCAAAGTAAACATTTTTATATGATGGTTTCCTAATATTACAATGCAATTAATTATTAATTATTAATTATTAATATTAACATAAAGGAATCCCATGATTTAAAAGCAAAATGTATTGCCAGTCAAGTGACACTAATCCAGTTGAATGCATTTCTGAATTATCTTACGTAGAGAAATCATTTCATTCATTTACCAGTTTTTGCATTCTGTACTAGTTACATTCAGAGACCAGCAGACAGTAATCAAAATCAGAACTCACTCACTTTCTGAGGAGGGAACCAGCGTTTCTCCATACAAAGTTCACAAATTTTCAGCCATGGAAACCTTCCATTCTCTTCTTTATTGTCTCAATGAGACCTAAAACTTCCTTAGACTTTTCTGCTAAATCTTGGGCCTTTTTTTTTTTTTTTCAGCCTAATCAGACATTTTAAGAGCTGGCAAAGATGAGGACTTTGTGTAGCCCTGACTTGGGTGCAAATCGCTAGCCCTCCTCACTTCTTGCCTTCTAATGGAGGGCATGGTCATGCTGTGTCTGAGCCAGCATGGGTGTGGCTACAATCCATAAGGTGTCTGGGAAGATGGTGGCCGCATTGGTTCTTCAGTACTGAGCTCTGACTGGTGGGTTCGGGATTCCCCAAGGGCTGCGTCTCCAATAGCTGCTTACGCATCAGCTCCCTTCCACCTCTTTTTTCTCCTTCCTACCCTTACACACTGGGAGGCAAATGTCACTCAAAGCCTCCCGGTTATGGATGAACTTGGGGTGCTGAATGGAGAAGGGCCCTATGAGAGGTGACCTTTGCCAATGAATCATTCTACAATTATTTATTAGGCGCCTACTATGTGTCGCTTTCTGTGCTAATAGAACCTGGCACATAGTAGGTACAGAGAGAAGAACAAAGAATGAAACTTGTTCATCTCGGCAGGGCTAGAGAGGATGAGAATGAGCTCCCAAATCACAGGGCACAAGGTTTAGAGCTGCTTTACCATATCAGGCGTATGACATGCCTGAAAGAGCTCTTTTATAATGTGTGTTCTCAGGACGCTTAGAGAGGTAGCTAGCTGGCTCGGTGCACAGGGGAGACTCGGAATCAGAAAGACCTGAGTTCAAATCCAGCTTCAGACACTTCCTAGCTGTGGGACCCTGGGCAAGTCATCTCACTTTATCTGCCTCGGTTTCTCCACTTGCAAAATTGTGATAACAGCAACCCCCCACCCCCCACCAAGGTTATTGTGAGGACCAAATGAGGTAATACATGTAAAGTGCTATGTCAGCCTTAGAGCTCTATGGGAACTCTAGCTCCTGTCACTGTGGTAATAACCAACCTCTGAGCTTATTTCCCCTGTGATGTGGTGAGTTCCTGTACTTTGCATGTGCTTAGTCCATAGTCAGACAGCTTGACTTGCAAGCATTTGAAAGCCCTGGCATCAGAGGGGTGAGGTCAGCAGCTCTCCTCCTCCTCCTCTTCCTCACTGCAGGACATGCTAGAAAAGAAATGGAGGACACCCCCCCCCCCCCCGCCCCCCCCCCCAGGGTCCTAGATCTAGGCTGGAAAGGCCTTAGAGTTCAGCCTCCTCTTTTACAGGTAAGGAAACCGAGGACCAGAGCATTTAAGTGACCTGTCCAGCTGCCAGCAGCTGAGGCAGGATCTGAACCCAGCTCTTCTGCTGCTAAGTCCAGCATATTGTCACATGTTAGGGCAACACCCCCAAATCATTTCATAAACACTGTGGCACATGAATGGCAGAACTTTAAGGGGTTGTCCTGTCTCCATCCCCAAACTTAAGAACAGCCCACAGGTTTCTGGTAGTCTCACTCCTTCTTTCTGAAGAGCCCAGTGGTCTTTTAAGGTTGACCCAGGGTCAGAGTGCGCTGGGCCTGCCGGCAAGAAGATCTAGGTTCAGATCTGGCCTCAGACATTTACTACCCTGCTACTCTGGGCAAGTCACTTAACCTCTGTCTGCCTCAGTTTTCTCAACTGTAAGAGAAGGACCATAATAGCACCGCCCCTGGGGTTGTTGAGAGGGTCAAATGAGACAATACTTGTAAAGTGCTGAGCACATAGTAAGTGCTTTATAAATGCTTGTTTGCTTGCTGGCAGGACTCTGTAACCTCTTCTGATGTCAGCCTGGCCTGAGCTACATAGGCTTCAGAGATAGGCGGGCAGGGGGAAGGGGACCCAGGGCCTGATACGTAGGAGGCACTCAGAACATGTTGGCTGATGCCTGATCCAAACGTGTAAGAGCTAGATGGCCCCATGGGGGTGGAGACCCTCTGACCTCCACATAGGGCCCTGCCTGTAGGGGCCAGGTAGGAGCCCGGGATCCTTGTGGAGAGGGACGAGGCAGAGATGCCTCCTGGCCGGGCTAGCCAGTTCAATACTGCATGTGAGGCCATCCCTATATCCATCCTGGCTCATTGAGAGGGAGGACCAGAAGAGAATGGCCCAGCAATACCCCAGCAGGTTGAGAGATGCCTTGGGAAATCCTGCCCGTCCTCTGCTGGGCCCAAGGGAAGCAGGCTCAGACAGAGACTCCCAGGAGGCCAAGAGTTGTCTGAAGCCAGCACAGGAGGCCGTGTGACCTTGGGGGAATCCATTAACCTCTCAGGGCATCAGACTGCCCCCAGTCTCACTCACAGCTGTGACTCACACCCTCGCCCGACCCTGGCAATCCTGGGGCCAGCTCCCGCCCTCCCCCCGCCCTCCTCCATGGGCGGGCCAGGTGAGCCTGGGAAGTCTCCTCTCCCCATTCCTGCCCAGCAGAGGCACAGCAGCCACAGTCATGTTTCCTTCAGAAGCTTTATTGCCTTTTCACTTTTCAGATTAAAAACAAAACCCAGTCTCTTTGACAGATAGCTTGGTGCCCGCCTGTCGACCCATTCCTGATTGTAAAGTGCATTTCCCTGGAATATGTGCATATAAAAAATATCTTTTATCTGAAAAACACGCAGAAACATCTTTTACAAGGCACGTTGGGCACACCGCAGAGGAGGATTCCCGGGCTGTCCATTCACATGGGCTAACAAGGGCCCTGTCCCACCGCTGTGTCTGGGAGCTAGCCCTCCATGTCCCCCCACGCCTCTCACGGGTGGGCCATCGCCTCAGTCCCACCAGGGCGCGCTGGGGGTGTGCTCCCTTCCCTGATGGCTCTGGCTGGGTGGCCGCTGCCCCCGCGGGACGGCCCAGCTCTAGACCCCCTTGTCCTGAGGCTGTCCTACCCCTCCCTTACAGAGACGACTTCAAACACTGAAGCTGGGGCACCGAAGAAGGTTGGTTTGATTTCTGGAGAGGAGAGTCTCCATCTCCTCCACCCCCCGCCCCCCACTATAAATCTACTTTAAAAAAAATAGAGCTTCCTCCGCCCCAGAGACACTGCCCAAAGTCAGTGAGCCACCAGGCTGGCTGACTGCACTGGGTCTGGCACGTCTGCCCTGAGCGATGGACCACCTCATTTCCTAAGTAACTGGACAGGGAAATGGGCTGACTGCCTCAGGGAGGGGGCTCCCCATCACAGATGGGAAAGTGACCCCCTTCAGGTATAAGACTTGATCCACCTTCCTCGGGGGTGCCGGGCAGTGGGGGCAAAGCCAAGAAGACCTGGGTTCTATTCCTGTCTCATCGACATGCTGGGTGTGCGACTGTGGCCAAGGGACTGAACCTCTCCGTTCCTTGGGCAATGAGACAGGACGCCATAGGAAGGGGCTCCCCTGGGAGTTCCCTCTCCGGTGCTGATTACAGCACAGGGCTAGTCCTGGATCGCTCGCGGAGGCAGAAGGTAGGGCAGCCACCGCTCACTCGTCTCCCTTGGCACCGAGCACCTTCAGCTGCTTCTCGGCGGTTAGCCAGGTCAGCCGCTGTCTCCCCCCTCCTGGGGCTGGGTACGAGTCGCCCCTCCCAGTTCTAGCTCTGGTCCAGACCAGGCCACACTCCCAAAGGCAAGGAGCAGGTTTGAGCTGCCAGGAACCCGGGAGGGTTACAAACAAGCAGCCCCACCCCCATTACAGATGAAGAAACTGAGGCCCAGACACCTTGGGAAGAACGTGGGCTTGAACTCTAGCTTGGCCTCCTCCCAGCGATGAGATATTGGGCATACGACAGATGGGGCCTCCCAAAAATGCCTCTGGCTCTAAATCCTATGAATGGACTCATGCAAGGCCACCCAAGAGGCCAAGGGAGGATTTACACCCAGGTCCCCAGCTCCAAATGCACAACCCCATAACTGGCTCCTTCTTTTTAAGGAGGAAGTTACAGATGACCTGGAGTAACCCATCTACAACACTGAGGTTGACCTTGGAAGGGATTCACCAAACCATCACCCGTGCCATTTCAGCAGGACATGAAGACACGGCTGCCCCACTCCTTCTCCCCCCGCGTAATCCTCAGAGATCACTGACCTTGGCCAACAGAGGCTAAGACAACAGGCAGCACCAGGCCACAGGGACCAGGGCTTAGTCCGGTGGCTCCCCAGGTAAACAGGCCTGCTTAAAGCCGCCGAGACTGCTTTGGGACCAAGACATTGGCTTTGGGGGGGGGGGGGGCCACGGCGGGCCAGGAAAAGGGGAGGGAGGCAGAAGAGCTAGTCCCAAACTTCTCTACTTTGTCTGTTTTTCCTGAAGGGAAGAGGAACTGTGTTGGGAAATAAACTCCCTTGAGCCCCCATCAGCGTGCAACCATCAGCAACAGCACTACCAACCAAAGTGAGTGTTTGGTGTCCGTCAGGTGTGGAATAGCAGCATGAATCAGGAGAGAGCCAAGAGTGCCCGGCAAGAGCTGAAGAGAGCAGGACGGGGATGCTCGCCCTACCCCCACTGGGAAGCAATATTTCCTAGTGCTCTAAGAAATGCATGGAGAAGGCCACAATACCCCCTGAAACCTGCTGCTAGCTGCAGCTGAATGTAGCAGACAAGTGCTAGACAGGCCGAGAGGAGTCAAGAGACCTGACTCGCCCCCTTCCCAGCTGAGTGACCCCGGGGGAGTCACTTCCCATCTTAGGGCCTCAGTTTCCTCCTCTGTAAAATGGGGCTAAAATCACTCACACCCCCTCCCTCAGAGGGTGCCTGTGAAGAAAGCGCTTTGTAAACCTGTCCTGGTTTGGTGATTAGTGCCTTGGGAGGTCCCTGGAAGGCCCCTGACTCCAACTCAGACCCCACCCCCAAGCCCCACGGTCTCCAGCACCGAGTTTCTCGGAGTGCCGCCGATGGTAGCTCGGTGCACCTCGAGTGAATGCCTGTGTTTGGGGAGTATAATCCTGATTGGACTGGCCAGTATCCTAGCAAACAGCGCCCTGCCCCAGGGCAGTCTGCCTTTGGTGTCTCTCTCCTCGGCTGCTAGGAGCCCAGAAGCCTTTGGCCGAGGGCACGGGGGCCCCCAACCAGGCACATCTCTCATCTCACAGAACAAGCATCCATCCCACGGCGGCGGCTAATAGTAAGGGCCCAGCTTCTCATATCCCAGATAGCTTGGCCATTCTGCGTACAGGCCGTAGGAGCACCGAGGACTCCCAAAGTGATCCAGAGAGATCCCCAAGTCAGCCCCAGGGCGGGGCGGCGCCCCACCCTGCGTGCCCTGGAGCTCCGCCTGGATGATCCGATAGTTCCGGCCCTCGTTGCTGTCCCAGTACGTCTGCCCGCTGCACTCGTAGCACACGGCGAACTCCATCCTCTCGTAGGACTGGATCTTCTCAGGAAGGCCGATGGCGAAGGAGAAGGTGTCCCTGTCCCAGCCCGAGTGCGTGTCCTTCACGTACTGGCACTCAAAGTCCGTGAAGCTCTTCCAGGTGTCGAAGGTCATGCGGATTTTCACCGACTTCTCGAAGGCGAGGTTCTGGACCTTCACGGTCCCTGAGATGGCCTTGTCCTTCAGCACGCAGTTCTCCAGGCACACGCGGTCGGCCTGCAGCCGGTCCCGGAAGCGCAGGTAGTCGGTGGACGGCTGCTCAAAGTCCAAGACAAAGCTCTCGCACTCGGCCGTGGTCAGGGTCACGATGTTCTCCAGAAGCTCCGCAATGTTGAATGGGATGTCCGGGGGGTCATCGAACTCCGAGTACACCTTCACCATGGTCAAGGCCAGCCCTTGGTGATCTGCAAAGGACACGCGCTTTTTGGCCTTCTTCTCCTGGACCAGGGGGGCCATCTGGCTGCTCAGCTGAAGGCAAGGCCGCAGGGGCTTGGTGGGTTTGGGCAGGATCTTGTAGGCAAACCTGTCCCGGCGCAATGGGGGAGTCATGCAGCCATATCCGTACTCGATATCCACCGCCATGATGGGGCAAGGAGGAGGAAGACCCTGGGAGAGAAGACAAACAGAAAAGGAAAGCGGTCAGTGCCCACGGGCACCCGAGGGCCTGGGGCATTCACTCCCACTTAGGCTTTAGGCAGAAGATCAGGACTGGAGTGTGGAGGCCAAGGTGGTGAATAATCGTAGGTGTGGCAGTGGATACAAATCAGGCCTGGAGTCAGGAGGACCTGAATTCAAGTGTGGCCTCAGACACTTCCTAGCTGTGTGACCCTGGGCAAGTCACTTCACCCTGTTAGCCTCAGTTTCCTCATCTGTAAAATGAGCTGGCGAAGGAAAGGGCCAACCACTCCAGGATCTCTGCCAAGAAAACCCCAAATGGGGTCAGAGCATCAGACTCGACTGAAAATTGACCGAGCAACTAGACTGATAAGAATGTGGGGAAGGCATGCCATGCAACCATCCTCCCTCTACAGAGAGAGAGGGGTTTGCTCATGAGCCCCAGGAGAAGCGACTCCAACCTCGGCCCGCTCGGGAGAGTAAAAAAGTCACCAGTCGTGGAAGCGCTGGCAGACGGAATCTGGCCACGTGCCCACGGCTCAGCGAAGGGAAACTGGCCCAGAGCCTGGCTGCTCCACCCAGGGAAGTCACCGCAAGCCTCGGGTTCTAGAAACTCCTGTGAGTTTGGACACTCGCAGCAGCCTGGAGGACTCCCGGGACAGTGGCGGGCACACGGTGGGCGCTCAGAGGCACGCTGAGCGACACACAACAGGGACCCCATCAAGAAGTTACGTACGGTCTGCGGGACAAACTCGTATGGATTCGTTTGTCCTTTTACAGACTGTGGGCACGGCTGGCCAGGTTCCACTCCTTGCCTTTTCCAGGGTTCAAAGAACTGATTCAAACAAATTTCAATGACCCCATTAAAAACCCAACCACACAAAACCCACATACACACCCCCTTAGGAAAACAACTTTTGAACTCACAGAGCCAATCAGTGGCAAACCCAGTCTGGAAATCAGTCTCCAAGGTGAACAGGCAGGCTAGACGGTCTCTGAGGTGACCCCTGCCTTCTCCTGCCAGCATTGAGGTACTTTCCTACACCATCTCCTCCCCTGTCAAAGGGCTGGGGGCCCTGACAACCCTCATGTGGAATATATGAGTCCCGTCCCAAAGTCTCACTCCCTGAACTACTGTGGCACAGAGTAAACTCCCTGAATCTGGAGTCAGAGGGCCCGGCTTGGCCACTTACTACCTGCGTGACCTTAGCCAAGTCACTCCCCCGTAGGCCTCATTTCCTAATTTCTGAAATGAAGGGATCGGCCTGGATGGCCTCTCAGGTCCCTTCTGGCCCTACGATCCCAGACACCCAAAGGCGTTCAGCAGAACCTGGGCCTCAAAGCTGAGATGTCACAGACAAAACACAACTGGTAAAATAGAATTTCACCAGGGATTCCCCGCCCCCAGGTTTGTCTAGGACCACAGGTGCAGGTGAGGCAACACCAGGAGAGAAACACATGGGGGGAGGGTGCGCCTAAAGTGCTCACAGGTGTCCCGGCCTCTCAGCGGGGGGGAAGCCCAGAGGCATCCCGACAATCACCCCACCCCCACCCCAAGCCCAGCTGTGAGTGGGAGGGAGCTCACCCGTAGCCTAAGGTGATTGTTCAACCATGGGACAGTGTTGTAACTGCTCATTAAAAAAGAAGAGGGTACTTAGCCAGGGTTAACAGTGGGCAGTGCAGAGCATGTGTGTATGAGAGAGAGTGAACGTGAGTGTGTGTGTGAATAAGTGTTATGAGTGTGTGTGAATATGAGTGTGTAAATAAGTTTGTGTGTGATTGTGTGTGTGTGTTGTGTATGTGAATAAGTGTGTATGAGTGTGTGAGATTGTGTGAGTGAAAATGAGTGTGAATAAGTATGTATGTGCACCTGTATGTGTGTTTGAGTGTGTGTGATTGTGTGTGA